ATCTGAATCAGTGATAGGATCGATGGTGAGTCAATGATAAGAAGTGAATGAACGACAACTCAAGCTTTAAGAACATTTTGGAATGAAATTATAAAGATGTGTAATGTGATGAATAGAGCAACTGCTACTGCTACTGAATTCATTGCTTTAGATGAAAAGACACGGCAGATAAATAAATGAATGTGTTTGAAGAAAACGCTCAAATTTACAACCAAACGAAAATTCTTCTCGAACCAATTTGAGCTGCACTCAGTCATTTGTTTATACACATATACACATATACATACATATCCACAGACATATTCTCATTCTATACGTAATTTTCTGAACTGATCCACCGCATACATGCAACTGAAGCTAATTCTATGCATGGCATTTTCTAGATATTATTTGAGCAGCAGCAGCAGCAGCACTACACTATTATGCATAGTCGTCATTCTTTCGTTGGCTATCATCAAGCGTTGGCTGTTATTCTTGCATGAATTCCCGTTCACGTCATCATTCTTGATTAGATTTTATGCAGGATCCATCTTCTCTTCAAAAGTAAATTCACCAGACACCACATTCCATACCTCATCAGCAATATCCAAAACGCTGCAAACATGCGATCCAATCGGCTCCAATTTCGATGCACAACCAAGATTAGGCAAATATTTCAGCAGTGTATAATTTCCTTGCTCAAGTCGAACAACATTAACGACTAGAGTTCACTAATAGCAGAAACAAATTGCGCTCAACAATGCACTTACTAGTTCTGCTATGAGAGCTCATAATCGTTCAAGAAAGCATCGCAAGTTTAATCTGGGCACAACAGCACTATCAATGAGAGCACAACATCGTACATCGTAAACTTCTTGAATGCAGATGGATGAATCAAGATATACTAGCGATAAGCCTGACTAATGATTAGAATGCTTGATGCTAAATACTTTGCTATGCGATAGAACACCACTGAACATGATTAGACTCGTAAATACAAAGCGAGTAAGTTTCTAACGATAAACTACATCGAAAATGGAACAATAAAACAATTCAATACAGTGAAGTAAATCTATTTTTGGAAGATCTTGAGGATAACATAAACAATACGAAGAAATTCATGAATTTAAGCATTCCAGTGAAAATATTTAACATACAAAGCAATGCACTCAACTCAGGTAATTTAGCAGCAGTACAATTAAAAGGTGTGAGTAGAATTAACATAAAAATAGGTAGTCTGAAAAAACATACGAGTAAGTTCGTGAAACAGCATGAAAATAATACTTACGAACGACTGAATGAACAATCATACTGATAGAATTCGATGGCTCACATACGATAGCACTACTGTTGCTGACTGGTTGGTTGCGGATTCGTTTGGTTCAAATGCTCTTGACTCCGACCATTTTCAACTCATTCATTCCATTTCGAGTCTTCCAACTAATAGCCACTCTCTTATCCAGAAAGTCTGACAAAATTTCTTGAACAAAAGAGGTGCTTTGTCAATATGTTTCATTTCTTTCGATTCTCACCAAAATTCATGACATATCATTTTTCTTCGTTTACCGACTATTCCCTAAAGCAAAAATGTAAACATGGCTTTCATTTCTGCGCCCATATATGAGTAATGAGAATGTAAAATTGAATTTTGCGCATGATGTTAGGCAACGGAGAACAGCAATGATATCCTTCTCAAATGTATTCTCGCAAAACCATAGACAACTAATCGCATACATACATATAAGAATGAAACAACATGAAA